ACACGTTTGAGTGTTGCTGAATTAAAGCAGCTTGTAAATCTCCCTGATGTAGTTGAAATGCATGATGTGACAGCCAGGGATCCCAAATTGCTGGTACAACTTAAAGCCCACCGCAATACAGTTCCAGTGCCACGTCATTGGTGTTTTAAAAGAAAGTACTTGCAAGGGAAACGTGGTATTGAGAAGCCTCCTTTTGACTTGCCAGATTTTATAAAAAAGACTGGTATTATGGAAATGAGAGCAGCATTGCAAGAAAAAGAGGATCAACGGACTTTGAAAGCAAAAATGAGGGAACGGGCTAGGCCCAAGCTTGGGAAGATTGATATTGATTATCAGAAACTCCATGATGCATTTTTCAAATGGCAGACAAAGCCACGTATGTCAATACATGGCGATCTTTATTATGAAGGCAAGGAATTTGAGATTCGCCTGAAGAAGAAAAAGCCAGGCGACTTGAGTGAAGAACTGAGAACAGCTCTGGGGATGCCTGTGGGGCCAAATGCAAACAAAGTTCCACCTCCTTGGCTTATTGCAATGCAGCGTTATGGACCACCTCCATCATATCCAAATCTCAAGATCCCGGGACTCAATGCACCCATTCCTGACGGCTGTTCTTTTGGGTATCATGCTGGAGGTTGGGGTAAACCACCAGTTGATGAAACAGGAAGACCTCTATATGGAGATGTATTTGGTATACAGGGCCAAGATTATCAGTCAGTTCCAGAAGAAGAGGAGGTGGATCGTACAATTTGGGGTGAGTTAGAGTCAGAGTCTGAGGAGGAAAGTGAAGAAGAAGAGGAAGATGAAACAGGGCTGGTCACTCCAGCAGAAGGTTTGATCACTCCCTCTGGCATCACCTCAATTCCAGCAGGCATGGAGACTCCAGAGATCATTGAACTCAGGAAACGAAAAATTGAGAGTGAAATGGAAGGAAGTGAAACACCAGGTGTTGCCTGAGAAACGTATAGATCGTGTTGGTGGAGCCATGATGAGCTCCACACACATATATGATATGACAGGCTGGAGGACCTCCATTGGGAGTCATTGCCCCCACCCGCCGTGGTCCAGGGAGCCCTGAAGGTCCAGGCACAGTGGAACTTGCACTGGATCCATCAGAATTGGATCTTGTTGATACAGATGCAATGGCTGTACGTTATGAGCAACAGATCAGGGAACAACAGTCACAGTTGCAGAAGGAGGATTTGTCTGACATGTTGGCTGATCATGTTGCTCGTCAAAAAAACAAGAGAAAACAGCGACAACAGCATCAGGATAATAAACAAGCAAAGAAATATAAGGAATTTAAGTTTTAGTGTAATCTGCCATTGTATTCTTTACTGTGGTGTTTGCTTATGTTCTAAAAATGTGTGATTAGCAGCATTTTTGTTGGCATATGTAATGTATTGTAATGACTTGGTATGTTTACATAGAGATTTATAAAATAAAGGGGGAAAAGCCTGCCCTCTTGGTACTAATCTCTTGAAATTTTAATGAAATTGGCGAGAATAATTATATAGCTTGTACAATAGTAAAACTGATTAGCTAAATTGTTTTGTGGTGAGGCTCAAATTCACAATTTGACATTCACAAACCTTTTGGCCAACTCTTCCATTTTTGCACCTGACGAATAAAGCATTAAAAATATAGTAACTGTCTTTACTTTAATATAATCTGCATACTTGTTCATCAAAAGCATTTAAAATATACAGAAAGCCCATATATAATTGAATTACCTACTGTAAATTTTACCAAAAATTAGCAACCACCTCCCTTCCATTTACCCTCTTAAGACTAAATACTGCAACTAGAAAAAATTGTATCTGGTGGATATTAAATATTATTGCTTCAGAACTGCTTTATACAGATTCACTTTTGTAAAGAGGTTAGCAGAAATTACACATTAATCATATGAGTGTGCACAATTTATACCACTTCACTGCCTCCAACTTGTCAGAAGCATCCTCCTAGTAATAGATGTAATGCTTGCACATTTATGTTATCAAACAGACAACAAGAAATTTCACACAAAATAAAAGTATGTTTATGAACTATCTGCATACTAAATTTCATTAATTGAAAGTTCTTTGTCACTGGAATCAAATACTGTATTTACCATATTAATAGAAGCAATAATTTCATTAATTATTATCTGGGAATTACATAATAAAGTTGAATTAATGTCTGTAAAGTAGAAATGTATCAAAGTGTTTAATTGGAAGAGAAGTTTTCTTCAAAATCTACCAGAAAAAGGGGGCTGTCTAGAAGTCAAGTAAATATTGAATTTGTTTTGGTACTGTTCTTCATTGTGGCTGAATCTTTGATGTAATTCCTTACCTTGTGAATAGCTAAACTTGTAACAGACGAACGAGCTTTACACACAGTTTGTTGCCTGTGTCATTGTCCACTCAGAACTGAGGTATCTCCTTTGAGGGTTCAACATCCATAGAAACATGGCACTTCTGCCTGACGCAGTCACAGTGTCTTCATCACCATCGATAGACTGATTTCCCTTTGATCTACCCTCTGCAGGACATGTCTCCAAAGAATCTCACTCGCAGCACAACAGTAAATGGCTTGCTATACCATACTTTTTGGTACTCCACTTTCTTGCCGTTTTGATTCTGTTGTTATTATCTCATACATTATCAGGTTTGCAGTCTCTGACAACACTCGTTCACATTTATCACAAGTGTTCCTTATTCTCTATATTAGTTCTGTACCTTCCATAATACCTTCCCAGCTTCTTGTTTGTTCACAACATCACACATGTTTTTAAAATCAGTGAAGGCCAAACGCATATTTGCCGAATTCCCAACTCTTCTGTAATATCTAATTCACTGCAAAAATTGAATCAATCATTGACCTGTTGTTTGAGAGCCATATTGTTTTTATGATCCATTGTATTGTAACAATTGGTTTTTGATGCTTTATGATAGTAAGTATTTCTGCTGCATGGATCTTTGGTAACTGCCATTGCATTATCTTTCCACTGTAAACGACAACTGTGTCTAGTCACAAGGTGCTTTGAGTCAGAAGAGAAAGTGATGCTCACTCCCTTGCAGTACTCATGTATGATGCAGTGTAATACTTCATTCTCTATTAGATACGGATGGTTTCAGCGATGAAGAAGAATGTCTTCTGTTATCAGGATGATGATGATGGAGGCAGCAAGGACTTCTGAGATCTTAGCAAACTTCTACAACAGTGCATGGTGCAACAACTCAGAAGACAGCCATCTTCAGACTCACTGCCATGAAAACCTCAAATCCTAAATAGTTTCAGTGATCTTATAGCAGTTGTCATGGTCCCTTTTGATATACCTGTTTTATTGCACAAGACCCATATAAGTTTGCAAGGTGAATGTTGATGCCATTCTTTTCTTCTGTTAAAACTTGATACTGACATTTTGTTGTCCTAATGTCAACTCTTTATTAGTAAGATTCTGCGTAGTCACACTGTTTATTCAGGGAACTTGAACGCCAAGGACTGTTCTTATGATCTTTCTGTCACACTTTGTGCTTATTGTTTGAGCTTATCTGTGTCTGGCAGTGTATCACACATGAATATGGTAAAGGAGTATAATACCACTCTCTCTTTTTATCACTGCTAACCTGGAGTTCCTGTCAGTTGCTAATGCAGCATCACATGTAGAAGTAAGGTCAAGACACGTCACAGCTGCAAAATATTTACCTTCTGGGGTTTCTCTGCATCTTTTGCTCAGCATTATATTCTGTTGAATATAACTCTGTGATGTTCAAAATCTTGACGTTATTAAACATAGTGAATGGTTTATTTATTTTGTAAAATTATTGCAGATATGTTCCAAGGGACTCCCGTGAGGAGTTGCCTGGTCTCCCATCGGGCGCCTCCCCAGGTGGCAGATAGGGGAAGGCTCACCAGAAATGTAGGGTACCGGGGAAATAAAATACCCAGGGCGGACCAAAACCAGACGCTGCTGCTTTGTAGTGACAGAAGTTGGTTCTTCAATGGCTAGGGGAAGAACACCCTGAAAAAAAATCACCTGGTCTTCCAGGTTGGGGGTTGACGCGGTGGGCCAGCTCCTCACCCGTCGGAAAAACCACAATGCTAAAAAGCCTAATAAAAATAAGCCTCGGAATTGGAACCCAGGCAGACGAACATGACAACGAAAATGGAAAATGAATATAGGTATATGGAACATGCAAGGATTAGGAAATAAAATCCAGGAGGTGGTGAATAACATCAAACAACTACAGATGGATATAATAGTATTGACGGAAACAAAAAGAAGGGCTCGGGAATAGAGAAAATAGGACCATATATACAGATATGGAGTGGTGTACCAAAAGACCAGAGGGGAAGTAAAGGAGTTTCCATTATGATTAAGAAGAAATATCAAAAGGACATAAAAATTTGGGAAGCCATTGACCAAAGATTAATAAAAGTTAATCTGGAAAGTTTTAGATATAGATTAAATTTGATAGGAATATATGCTCCAAACGAAATTGACAACCCAGAAATGATAGATAAATTCTACTCAAAATTGGACGAGGTAATCAGTGAATGTGGAAATACAAGAGAAGTTATCCTAATGGGAGATCTAAATGCCAGAGTGGGGAGAGGAATAGAAGATCCAGTTGTGGGCCAATATGGAGAAACAACAAGGAATAATAATGGAAAGAAACTGATACAGTTATGTCAACAATTTAAACTAAAAAATAACAATGGATTTTATAAACACATAGATATCAATAAGTATATATGGGAAGACATAACAAGAGGAAGGAGATCAATAATAGATTATATAATAACACGACAAGAAACTAAAATAAATATAATGGATGTGAGGGTGCAAAGAGGCCCAGAATGTGGATCAAATCACTTATTAGTAAGAAGTAAAATGGTATTACCACCAAAGGGAAGGAGGAAACAGGAGGATAAAGAGAAGGGAAGGCAGGAAGAAAGAAGGTACAATCTACAAGGACTGATACAACCCAGTATATGATACTTGTACCAAAACAGACTGGACAACATACTAAAAGAAGAAAAGAATGGATCATGTACAGAAATATATGAACATATAAAAGAGTGTATACATAAAGCTGCACGAGATGCATTGGGCAAAAAGTTTGAAAGCAAAAGAAAACGAAGCTACTGGATAAATGAGGAATTAATAGAAGAAATAGAGAACAAAAAGAAACTATACGAGAAATGGCAAAACACTAATAAAAGAGAAGACAAAGAAGAATATAAGATACAACAGAATAGGGCCCGGATGCAAATTAGAAAACAGAAACAACAAATTTGGGAACGGAAGTGCCAGGAAATAGAAATGTACATTGGGGGTAAAAGCACAACGGAAGTATGAAGATTTATACAACCCAAAAGAACCATGTAGAGAAAAAAATTATAATACAAAATATAGAGCCAGAAGAATGGGAACAACAGCTGCTCTCGGAAGAAAGAAAGCAATTCCTGGGGAATAGGACAGAACCTCAAAAGGAGGAAACAGGTTATGAAAACATCACCCTGGAACAAATAAAAAAAAAGTGTGGAAAAATTGAGGAACGGAAAAGCTCCAGGACCTGGAAATATCCCAACTAATAAAAAATGGAACATTGAAATTAATGAGAATGGTGAGAAAATTAATAGAAAGAACCATAAATGAAGAGGACATACCAGCTGAATGGAAGAGGGCAA